TCAAAGAACAATTTCCTTTTGTGGATTATAATACTCAAACTTTTGAATATCTAATGAAATGACATTTATAACATTATTACACAGGCAACAAGAAAGAAACTTCTTGATTCTGTTGCAAAGATTGAGGTAGATTTGAAGCGTGTTACTTTCTGGGACAGAAATTTCTCTAGGTACTTATAGTAATAGTATAAATGGCACAGCAAAATGGGCCTTTTCTAAATTGAGCTTATTGGTACATTTTAAATATATACATATATATATATATATATACACACACACACACATATATATAATATTCATCATAGGGAATTTTTATCTGTACATGATATATTTCAATTCTGTTTTTCTAATCCCCTCTCTTCCCTCCAACTCTTCTTCCTCTCCTATTTACAAAGTTTTGTTTCCATTTTATCCTTTTTTTTTTTTTTTCGGTTTTTCTCCGGTACCGGGAACCGAACTCATGACCTTGCACTTGCCAGGCAGGCGCTTTTGCCGCTGAGCTAAATCCCCAGCCCCTCCATTTTATCCTTTTAAAATCTTTTTTCCTTTTCCATTTCTTCCTTTCTCTCTTTCTCAACCCTAGTTACCCTCTTTGAATTATTTCTTCTCATTTCACAAAATCTATTGTAGATTTCATGAACAAAATCCCAATCATACAGGAAATAAAACAAACAATCAATAACTGGGACCTCATTCTATTAAAAAGCTTTTGGACAACAAAAGAAATCACCAATAAAGTGAAAAGGCAAACTACAGAGTGGAAAAAATTATAGTTAGTTGTCCTTCTAGAACATATAAAGAATTGAAAAAAAGTAAACTCCCCAAATTTAAAACCCAATTCAAAAATGGGTGTCTGAGATGAATATACACTTCTCAGATGAAGAAATATAATTTCAGAATTCTAAGCATCACAGAAAACCCCACAGATGGTATTAGGTGCTGCAGCATGGGTGGGAGATCCTCAAGAAATCTTCACATCAAAGGCAAAAGCTACACCTCTGTCATCTGTAAGTGCTGACTTATAGTGCTACTAAACAACAAGAAAAAAGACAAGACAATTCAGGATAAAACAAAACAAAGCAAAACTCTTGGCTTTCTTTTTTCATAACCTAAATGTCATATAAATGCCCCCATTTGTGAAATTTGTGAAATTCTTCTAGCAAGAGAATATGGTCAAATACTCAGATTTAGGAGGACTTTTTATTGCTCCAGTGTAGTATAGTTAAGAATTTAGATGTGCACATGTGATACTGAACATCAGAAAAGGAAGAACCAGAAGGTTTCCTTTTGGATACCCAGGATCCATATGCAAATTTCAGTACATGTTTAATACCAAACGCTAATAATAAATATAATGCGAGAAAGCCTCATGGAGGCAGATTAATTTTCAAAAGGGTAGACACAGGTTAATTATTCATTGGTAATCTTTTCTTTAAAGATGGAATAATAAAGATTGTCACTGACACACTTTATATAAAACAGTATGCTTAGAAAAATCATGATATGATTAATACATAAAAAGTAAACATTGTAAAGAAAGGAGGAAAGTAAAATCATCTCTCCAGGTCTTGTTTCAGTAATTTCATAACTGTTGTTGATGTTTATACATTTTTTTTCTTGCACCAATCAATATTCCTTTACACTAAGCATGGAAACCAACAATCCCAATGATCCTGAGCCTTCAATTACTTTGCCGATATTAGACTGTGTCAATCTTTTATTAAATTTTGCCTTTTATATGAATAAGAGATGCCCTGGAACACCTATGATACATCCTCTTTTCTGTTCTATGTTTTCTTAAAAAATATAAGCAGTCATCCTGGCTAGTATATTTCTGCCTATAGATTACTGGTACAGTAGACTAGAGAAGGCTGCAGTAGTCACAGGGCAGTCTCAATTCCATTCTTGTATTTTGTTGTAAAAGCAATGATTTTTGGGTAATAGTTCTTAACAACAAGGCTCAAACTTATGTGTTATCAGGGGTCATAATAGAAGGAATAATTTTAGCTCTTCCATATTGATTTGTAGATGTCTATATTCTTCAGAAAAACATCTACTTGTCAATGGCTTAGCATATATACTTTAGATTATTTTGTAGGGTTCTTTCAGACATTGTTGCAGAACTGATTTTATATTGAAACTGCAAGTAAACCATTTCATTGTTCCACCAGCCTGTATCTTTTCTGCATGACAGGGCACAGGTAGGGATCCAAGTCTTCCAGCATCATTTACTATGTAATCATAGTTTTTGTCACTTACTTGTGAGATCAGTGATGTGAAAGATCAAGATCCCAAATACTCTGTATATAAAACAAATTCTAAGATCGCCTTTTCACTTCTTTACCCCATGTATCTCTTTCTGTGCCAGTAGCAGGCTTTTTTTTATTACTAAGGCAACTTACTCCTAGGAAAGATGAGGTTGTGTACAGTTGTCCTCTTTCAAAATTGTGTTATCCTTACACAACCTCAGGCTGATTTCACAATCTAAGAAGGGATTTTTTTGTAATTATATTGATTATATGTTAGGATGAAATTAGTTACTACGTAGTACTTAGTTATTGTAATAATACGATAATAAGCAACTTAATGATAGAGTGCAACCAGATTTGAAAGATTTGTTAAAAATTTAGGTTTTGCTTTATATCCCAATTATAATTAGGATCTCTGAGAGCAGTGAACCTGGAAGACAAATTTATGATCAAGTTCATTTTTTATTCTTACAAATATTGAGGTTGAGAGCGACTATACAAGGACATCAGTCTCCTAACTTAAAAGTCAATAAAAATTGAGCACTTGGTTTGCTGCGCTGCATTCCTAACTGTGGTGGGCTCTGGTCTGGAATCCATGACAGATAGATTGGGCTTCCTATGCATGTGTAGACTAATCATACTCAAGGCTCTTTCTCCCTAGTCACCTCAGCTAAGGCCACCTTTGAGAAGCTAATGATAGACATTAATTCTCCAAAATAAACTTACTTGCTAATTAGACTCAAGACAATATCTCCAGGGCAGTGAACCTTAGCCTCAGGAGTCCGGTGATCACAACACATGCTGTAGATAATCGCAAACAACATTGGCCACCAAAATCTCTAAAACTGATGAATTAAACAGAGAAGCCAAGAGTCTTAAAGAATACAGAAGACTGATGTACATGAACCTTTCTGTCTTTAGGCAGAATCCCTTGCTTTTGCCATTTCCTCAGGTTCTGATTGGTGACTGAGATTCTACTTTGCCAGGGAACCACAATACTGAATAGCTGCTTCTCACAGAATTGGCCTGATGAGAGCAATGGGGGCCCTTACTGAGCAGTGTAAACTGATTTTGTTTGGGGATTTGGGAGACCCAGAAGCAAGGGGTAGGTAGTGCTTGAGAATACTTCTTCCTTGTTCCTTATGGAAATTAGTGTTGGCATTTCTGGTAAGTGGCAAGGATAAAAAAGAGAATCATGTGTTACTTTTTGTCTCAGATATTCACAGTGAGTAGGAATGGTCTTTGTGGTTCTCTGAATTCTTCTAGATGATAATACTGGGCCACTGTTGCTTCTAGCTAGATTTCTTCTCTTCTCTTTCTTCTTTTTTTCTATTCAATCATTGGGTCATGGATTAAATGAACCATAAACTTCACCTCTTTTTTTTCTCACTTACTTTACTTCCCTCTGCTGTCTACTCATGGATGTATGCTTTAGCTATAATTAAAATCTGTTAATTAAACTGCATTTTAGTTAGGCAATTTTGAGAAATTGAAGTTTTTCTTCTGTAAATAAGAAGATAAAAATTCCACTTTTTTATTATTGGGGCTGTCTAAATTATTTATTTTGGCTAATTGATTTTGGGGGAAGACAAATATTAGAATTTCTCAAAATTTGAGAATATGAAATCTTTGTAAATTGTCCATCTTTTGAGGACACATAGGTGCCCTCTAATATTACTGCTAATTCAATCTAATTTATAGAAAATCAAGTGGAATATCTGAGAAGAGAGAAACGTATAACTCAGAAATATCAATTTTGGAGATGCCTGTGCAAAAATGTCCTAATCTTAGGCCTAATAGTGAATTTAGAAAAATTGATTTTTAGGGTTTTGCAAATTGCTTTTAGTAGCAAAATGTTATAAAGAGTCTTATTGATATAGCAAGATAGACAGGATACAAAATTGATTTTTTTTTTTCAGGTAAGTCAAAACTGTTCAAATACTCGCTTGCCCTGTCCTCCCTCATACCTTGGCAAGGTTTGAACCATTTCTACAATGCATCCTTTTTCTAAGTTTCTCTGAGGTACCTCAGGATGGAAAAATTTAATAGTGGTACAAAAGGCCTCAAAGGTGGTAAGTCTCTCTCTACCCTTCTCTTACTGAGCAGAAAAATATTTTCATAAATGTTAATATTATCTTCTGTGTCACATTAGACACAATATTCTCTATTATGAAATCTTCCATAGTGTTGCTAATTAGTTTCTTATTAGTCATTTTCTCTGAAATGAAGCTTCTCTTTTTTGTGTGTTGGAGGCCAAAATCATAGTTAACCTAATTGTTCTTCTCCTTTCCCACTTTGTGGTTGGGGAAACTGAAGCAACTATGTTTGTGCCTGAATAGTATTCATTCTTTTGCTCCAAATGCTCATCAGATTTAGATAACTGAATTTAACACTATTTTTTTTTTTTATCTTTGTAGACTTGGTTTCTTTGAGCTTATATTTATCAAGAAGAGGACAATAATGCATATGAAAGCTAAAAGGGAGAATTGTTAGCTTCTTAATTGTTGGCAAGAAAGATTAACTGTTCTTCACATTAGAGGAATCCTTCAAACTGAGTTCAGTTATATTGTTTCATAGTTAGTGTCAATTCTTCTTTTAGTATTCTTAGAAAGAATGAAGGAATTCTACCAAGTATCTGGAAATGTCTTCCACCTGAAAACTTTGTGTTGTGTTTCCCATACATTTCTGCTTTTTCTCCTGGATCCTGGCTTCCACCTCTGCCCATGACTTTTCTGTACTGAAGTGCTCTCTATGGAGAGGGTTAATGAAACCATGGTGAGAGAGTTTATCTTCCTGGGCTTCTCCGCTCTGGCCAGCCTCCAGAGACTGCTGTTTGTTATCTTCCTGCTTGTCTACCTTTTCACTCTGGGCACCAATGCCATCATCATTTCTACCATTGTGCTGGACAGAGTCCTTCACACCCCCATGTACTTCTTCCTGTCTGTCCTCTCCTGCTCTGAAACTTGCTACACATTTGTTATTGTGCCCAAGATGCTGGTTGACTTGTTGGCTGAGAAGAAGACCATCTCCTTCCTGGGCTGCACCATCCAGATGTTCACCTTCCTCTTCCTCGGCTGCTCTCATTCCTTCCTGCTGGCAGCCATGGGTTATGATCGCTACGTGGCCATCTGTAACCCTCTGCGCTACACAGTGCTCATGGAACATGGGTTATGTGTGGGACTGGTGCTTGCTGCCTGTGCCTGTGGCCTCACCGTCTCTGTGGTCACCACCTCCCTGGTATTTCACTTACCCTTCCACTCTTCCAACAAGCTCCATCACTTTTTCTGTGACATCTCCCCTGTCCTCAAACTGGCCTCTCACCACTCCCACCTCAGTCAATTGGTCATATTCATGCTTGGTGTATTTGTCTTAGTGATTCCACTGTTACTTATCCTGATCTCCTATGTCCACATCATCTCTGCCATTCTGAAAATTCCATCCTCTGTTGGAAGATACAAAGCCTTCTCCACCTGTGCGTCCCATCTCATCGTGGTCATTGTTCACTATGGCTGTGCCTCTTTCATCTACTTAAGGCCCAAGACTAATTATTCTTCAAGCCAAGACACTCTAATATCTGTATCTTATACCATCCTCACCCCACTGTTCAATCCAATGATTTACAGTCTGAGAAATAAAGAATTCAAGTCAGCCCTCCGAAGAACAATGGGACAGACTTCTTATCCTATTAGTTAAAGAACCAGTTTTTACCTATTCAGTAATGCCATGTGCCAGGAAAAAGGTGTTTTCACATGTTTTCTCATTTATTTTTCCAACTCTGCTATAAAAAAGAACACATGAGGATATTTTACAACATTTTCTTTATGTGTAAAGAACATTTTCTATATGAGAATGAAATTAAAGGAAGTTCAATCAGTTTGGCTTTCTCCTGTTGGTAATAGTCTAACAAGTTCGAGAAGATAAGGAATGAGACCACTTAGTTTCTCAAAATGTTAATTATTATTTACTGTACTAAATATTGGTCATTTGAAGACTAATATGAAAGCAAAATTGGATTCACACTGATGGAAGCAACGTAGATGGGTAAAAAATTATCTAAACTGTCTCCTTCCAATGAATAGAAACAGAAAATTGGCTTTTCTCCAACCTCCCTTTCTTGAAAACAACAAGCAACCTTCACACCATTAATTCTGCAGTCACTGTTAGAAGTGCATCTGGTGCCTGAACCTTCCCCTTGACATATCTTTGCCTTTACTTGGGTTTGGTTTGTCCGTTTGAAATTGAAACCTGTTATCTCGGTCCTATGCTTATGTGTATCCTTCCATGTTATCTTTTCCTAGCCCCCACATTTATTCCTCAATATTTTAATTATTAATTCTCTTCAAATGACCTACTACTATTGTATAAATTGTTAGAATACTTCAAGTAATCTCAAGCAAGGAGTTTGAATTAATATCAATAGAAAGAAAGCTGGAGTCTCAGAATTGCCAGAAAGCCCATGGAAATATTTTCCAGTGATTCCCTTAGTCATATAAGATGATGTTAAATACCTTTTATTAGCTTTAATTTATCATGGGGGAGTCTGCCTACCTATCTATAATTTGTATTTCCAAAGTTTTTCTTATCCATTTCCTTTATTTGCCTAGTTCTGTACTCTGAAGCTAACCAGATACTTTCTCACCCCCAAATAGAGATGATGCTATATTCCCATGTGCGGTTGTTTCATTTTAAAATAGCTTCTCTCCTTTCCTTAACATATATGATTTAATAAGTTTCGACTCCCTCTTTATACTTCTCTCGTGCCTGCTGTAATCACTGACGGGATTAAGTTCTGCTTTCTTTGTGTTCTTGTCCCACACAGATATACTTTATCATTTCAACAAATTCATATTCTTTCTTAAATATGTATCAGATAATACTTCCAGATAGTACTTTAGCTATTGGAAATTTACTATGAATAAAGTATATTGACATTGCATCCTCACAAATATTATGGTGTGGTTCAAGGGTCCCCCAGTAGGCAGGTACATTCAAAGAAAAACATCTGACTAGGTGTTGAAATTCAGTTTCCGAGGGAAGAGTACATGCAGGCACCAGAAGAAGAAAGAATGACAGACAACTAATTTAGACTGGATGGTGTGGAACTGGTTCATCAGAGGAACTGACATTTAATGTATAACCTGAAAGGAGTCACAGGTAAAAGACATCATTTGGAGATGTTCTATTGGAGCAAAACACCATATAGGTAACTGTAGAGACAAGAAAGATCTCAGTGTTTTGGAGGAAAGCAAAGAAGACCAGTGTAATTTCTTTATATTCAATTGGCAGGTAAAAATCCTAGGCATTTACTGTGTATAACACGATATTTTAGGCTAAGTATGCATTATGTAATGGTTAAATCAACTATATATATATATATATATACACACACACACTTAAATATATATTTTTCATGTGATGATAATACCTGGAATCTATTGTCAGATTTCAAGTATACAATACACTATTATTAAGTATGTTATTATGGTGCATATTAGATTAACTGATCTTTTGTACACTTTGACCATCATTTCCTCAAATCACTCAAACCTTTTTCCCTACCCACAGCCTTCTACTATCATTCTATTTCTGCTTCTATTGTTCAGCTTTTTAAAATTCCATGTCATATTTCAAGAAATCAAACAATAAATTTCAGTGACATATATTTTGGATGCAGACCCTTTAAGAGATGCATGATTACCAAATGCCTACTCCCATTCAATAGGTTGCCTCTTTACTGTGATCACTGTTCCTTTACTGTGTATTTTGTAAGTTTGATGCAATCTCATCTGTCTATTTTTCTTGTTTTTCCTTATGCTGTGGAGCACAACTGCTTTTTTCTCACCTCTCTCTTCAGTGTATGAATTTGTACGTTAAATATGTTTGTCAGTTCAGTTCCCTGTATAGTACCTCACATTACAAAGCTACCCAACTTATGAATGGTCTTCTCATCTGTCCATTTTCTGTCCCCAAGCTAGCTCTTCCACATTTACACTGATTCAGGTGACGATTAACCCCATCTTCATAGGCAGGCAAGCCACATAGGTAGAAATCATCTTTATCTCTTCTTTTCTTAAATTCTCTCACTATGTATTAAATCAGCCATCACATTCTAAAGGCTCTACTGTTCCTCTGTAACACTCTGCTTTCCTTTCCATAGTATAATCCTGTCTGTTTTGGATCTCCATAAGAATATAAAGCCCAGTGGTCTGGAATGTATTCATGCTATTGATTGAAAGGTTTTAGGGTTCCTGTGAAGATTAAACTAGATACTATGATAAGTACTTAGATAATGTCTAGCCTTCCTGAATACTATTTAAGGATTTCATATTCTTTGTCATCATCATTTTCTAAAATAAAACTGTCACACAACATTCCATATTAAATTGTTCCTAATAGACTTGAAAATATATGATAACTCTTTAAATTAAAATTCATACCAAAGTATTGCTCTCCAAATCGATGTTTAACACTTCCTGAGCTTTATATTTTCCTGAAATTGATTTATTGTTAATTCTTTGCCCACTATTCAGATTTCAAAACTTCATTCAAATGTCACTTTCTCTATGAAGTTGCTGGTCTCTATAATCTAACTCATCATTATTTCCACATTTCCCCCTAGCGATGCATACTGCTAATATTCCTTCCTTCACCCCCATCACGGGACTCTGAAGTCACCGCTTTCTTCTTTGCCTGCAAAGGGATTTAATTCCTTCAGATAGAGAATAACAATTATTTGACCTTGCATCACGTGAATACAGCTCAACTCATGACAGAAATTAGAAACTACATGCTTGGGAATTTAAAAAATGCTTTCTTAAAAATTTTTATTTTAAAGAGAGTAGTACATGAGAAGCAAACAAACAAAAAAACAGAACAGTAGCAGCATACCAGTATCACGAACATAAACAAATCAAAGCAAGAACATTCAAAGTGATACAGGGTCTCAAGACAAATTAATGCAAATCAACACTGGTTGTTACATTGCATATCACTATACTCAACTACATTGGTCAGATTATCAGATGTAAGAATGAAAGATTACTCAAACCGTTAAAGAGAATAAGAAAATAATTCTTCAATAAAACATTAGAGATAATACAGAGTTTCACTAGATAACATAGTAGGAGTTCACCATTGTAATTCCTTTGCATACTGTTACCTTCAAATCGTTGCTCAGACCACCAAACACAAGCGTGTAAAGTCAATCAGAACATAAAACATTGTGAGCATTAACTGCTCATTTCAATACACCATCAGACAACAGCAATCATCGCAGCTATTCTTATACATGTTTATGTTTTGCCTTCCTTCTTTCTTTTTTCTTCTTTTCCTCATCCCAGTCGTTCCTTCCTTTGAGCAATTTCTTTCCCTTTCCTATCGTCTATCGTACATTTTGAGTTTTACTTAGTCTTTCAGATTCCTACCCGAAGAAGACAATATGATGTTTACACATGTGGGTTCGATTTATTTCACTTATGAGTATGGTCTCTAGTTGCATCCATTTACCTACAAAAGCCTCAAGTTTATCTTTTTATACCTCAGTAATACTCCATTGTATAAAAATACCAGAACTTTTTAATCCATTCTGCAGTGGATGGGCAACTGGGTTGTTTCCAA